TCAATTCCAATTTCTCCACTCAATTCCTTAGTAAAGCCTTGCAAAAGGATTTAGTAGAGAATATGTCATTATTGGATTCTTCCCACCACCTAAGATCTCTCCTATCAACTTGCACCTCAACCAATTGTAATTTTGAGAGTAAATCCACAAATTCCCCAACTCCCCATACAAGAGGATCTTCTGAATTTTGGACACCAAACAACTCTTTCTTGAATTGCTTCAAGATTCTATGCAATAAAGTGCTCTTTCTACTTAACCTATRCAAATGTGGGCAAAAATCACAAAATTTTCCAATTCCCATTGAATCATCTTCCCAAAATTTTATGGTTGAACCATCCCCAACCTTGAAGGAAACAAAATCAAGAAAAGCTAATCAAAAGCTCATTATTACTTCCCAAACACATACTCCAAAAGAAGACTTCACTTCTTTGGTGTCCCACCCTTCTCCACAAAGCATCCCTTTCAAGTCCAAATCTCAAATAACCACTTCTCCAAAAGCACCATATTAAATAACCACACTCTTCTAATTCCCAAACCTCCCTCCTTTTTATCCCTACAAACACAATCCCATTCCACTAGATGGTACTTCAGTCCCTTTAATCAATTTTCAGTTTTGATGAATGAATTAACATTTGAGTATTGGCCCCCCTCTCTCTTCTTCTCTAGTGCCAATCCAGTTTTCTAGTGATCCGAAATCTAGATCTGGATATCCTCTTTTCTTCTTCATTCTCTGGCTGCATTTGACCCTCTTTTCATATCTGAAAACCACCTTACAAGTATTCTCTTCCACTACATGCAGATTGTAGGACTTTCCCATTCCAATCCTATGTCATATAGCCAGCCACAACTCAGAAGCCCAAGTTCAACAATAAACTCACTCAAGAACACCTACCCACACAAAAAGGGGGCAAGAATTTACCAGTGGTAACAGTTTAAGTCTTGGATGACAAGACATGTAAACTAGTCTGAGCCCCATAACTTCCTATTTGTCAATAATCCAGATAATGAGAGCCAACACTTTAATGTGTCTCATTAGGAGATCAGTCAGACAAGATATCAGCTTAAAATACAATAAATTTCAATGGTGAAAACAAGTTCTATGACAACWGTTAGAAATCTCAATAATATAATGCATGAAGCAGCTGACTAAAAGTCATGTAATAGTACTGTAATTTACRATTTGAATGCCCACAATTAATATAACTTACCTACCTTTCATAAAAAAGAGAATGCAGTTAGGAACAAGTTAACATTTTCCTACAAGAGGCAACACTCTTCTTCACATTTGGAGAAAGATGAACAACCATTTGGGGGATGGGGGTCATAATAACCCAAATCCAGCTTTATTCTAAAAATTATGTTTGTCACGAAGTAAAAAGTGTGTATAGATGTGYTGAGAATAGTCTTCAAAGCATCACTATGCTTTGGGAATCCCCCCTGGCGGGGGCATGTTGTATTGGGTTTTTGCTGTACACRGTAAAAAGTGGTCGCTTGGTGGTTTAGCTGTTTGCTTGTTTGGTAGTAAAAGAAACAAAAGCAATCAACTAAATGYCAGTTATGAAAAGATAAAATGTAGAAAAATTGACCTTGAATGTAGTGGTATTAAAGATACTTAKGTCAAAATAGACCAACACCAAGTAATTCTTTTGAACTCTACAATATTGTTTATCTTTATTACCCTTGTATATTTTTCTCGAACCCAGACCTGCTGCTTGCACCACCATGTATTTTGGGCTACTTAACCAATCACAAGTGAACACCAGTGTTTTGTACAGTGACATGTGGGCCCCATGTGTATGGAGCACTGGTGTATTCACTTGTGATTGGTTACATAGAACACAATACAAGACAGTATGAGCAACAGATGTTGAGTGATTTTTCTCATATCTCCCCGTCTCTATTTACTTGTTGATTTAATAAAAACAAAGAAACCTCAATTTCTCATAAAGGTGGCAAACCTCCCTGGCAGCAAATTAATTATACTTTTTCCTCTATTTGACTAGGCATATTTAAACAAACAATGAACAGCTTGAGGCTAGTTGGAATTTCTGAACCCTGACTGACCCAAACCCTATTTGAATGCTGCCATGGGCCCACGGCAGCTGGTTATTGAAGCATCCACCTATGCTTTTTTCCCAGTTTCAGATGAGCAACTCTGAACCCATAATACTGAACGGGTTGGAGTTTGGACAGGTAGTGCATTTGCTTCAGTCACATACACACTTGGGCATGCACTAGCAGAACAAACATGTTTCTGGATATTCTGCAACAAAAATTTGTTTACATTGTATTCATTATTCTTATTATTTTTCATGTTCATAATGAAAATTATATAAGAAAATCCCCAGTAGAAATCTATTCTCCCAACCCCTCCCATGGCCAAGCTATCAGCCCAAGAGTTAGCTGGCCTTGGAATCCATTGGAAGGAGATGTTGACCTCTCTATGAAGTGCCGGTTTCCTTTCGTCATTCTTGTAAATACAAAGAAGTTGACAGGTGATTATTTCCTTTCACTTGAAACTTCCTTAACCAAAGAAAAAAAAAAAAAAAACACTTGACCTAAGTGAATTTAAAATACATATCAAAAGGAAAGAAGTAAACTATAACTTCCACCAAACCAACCTATGCATCTAACCTGTAGACAAACTAGTGGACCAGCTATAGAATTCTTCGAAAACCTAAGTTCATTTGTAATCGCCTACCATGAATCCCAAAAGGCTCAAATTTGACCAAGTCAATCAATAGCATGCCAATAAATAAATGCAGGAGATTATAACAATCTTAACATCCACGAAAGAAAAATTAAGAAAAAATACTATTCTTGCAAACAAGTTTCGTCGAAAACACTGACAAATCACCAAAAGAAAGACTATTAAGAACACAATCCCCCAGAAAGAAAAATTCTATACAACAATATAAAGAAAACGAAAAGAAATCACCTGCCGATCCAGAAGGAGAGAGAAGCCCCRAGAACCTTGGCAGAGAAGACGCAGAGAACACCAGGGAAAAAGCCGAAAAGAAGCGAAGCACCGGCTTCGAAGAAAATGGCAGAGGGCAAGCAGAGGGCGAGGGTAAGAGTGTGAAGGAGAACGTAGAGAGGGATGGCCCAGAATCCCAATTGGTCTGATAAATGTCGAAACACTTGCAGAGCCGCATCTTTATCCCATCCGTACTGCTTGCTGACGGCTCTCAGGATCCCAAAAATCGCCACCACAATAGCAACCGTCGATAATCGGCCCATCATTCCCATTTTGCTTCAACAACGAAGACACAGGAACGGATTAGGGGATTGGGTTATTGCTTCGTTCCTCCACAAGTCCTAATCCACCATGATCATCCCTCCCCCCACCCCAAATCTGGTTTTTGTCGGACAGAGTGTCTCTAGAGTGGGAGAGGATGGGAGAAGAGGAGTGAGTTGCGAATCGGCTCATCTAAAACAAAAATCGGATGCGGTGARCMGGTGCTTACAAAATTGTGCTCACACCGTTTTCACAGCACATTTCAGCCGTACAAGAGTTAAAAACTTAAAATCTGCGCCAACGGCCTGACGCCAAAAAACGTTTCACACAATGAAAGGCCGTCAAGTGTCCTTCCACACGCAAATCCCCTCAGCGCGTACGGAGCTAACTCCAAAGTCCAAACAAAATCCTATCCTCGCTTATTAGGGGACCGAACTGTGGGTATAGTTTTGAAACCGAACCGTACTACCGGTTTATCAAAAACTGGTAATGGAAATCGAATCAAGCCGATCGGTTAATCGACGGTTCAATCTTCAATTTGTTGTTTTTTGGTTTTTTACAGTATATATATTATAAAAAATATATAAATATATATAATAGTATATTTTAAATAATAAATAATATATTATATATTATAAATATATATTTATACATAATGCATATTTATTTATTTATAATATATATAAAATATATAGAAATATATGTATATCAGTTGGTTCTATTAATCACCGGTTTTATATATTGTTTAACTGAAACCGAATCRGTATCTTTGATTTTTAAAAATATCAAACCAACCGCTTTGATCAACCAATTTTTTTGCTTAATTTCGATCAGTTTTTTTTATTTGATTCAGTTCAGATTCGATTTTCTTGCTCACCCCTAATTCTCTGGACTTGGACCCATGCAACCCTGCATTCTACCGATCCAAACTTTCATCATCTCTGGCACCGATAAACGTTC